GGGAGGCCGGAGACAGGGGGGAGGGGGACGGAGTGGGGAAGGGGAGCTGCGCCCGAAGCTCAGTCCCAGCCTAGACCCGGACGCACCCCCGCCTGCCTCCGCACTCGGGATGAACTCCCCCGACGGAGCCGAGGTGGGGTGTCTGAACGGGGCCCCGTGGGGCTCGAGTCTCCTCCTTGCAACCATGCCCCTAGGGCGCTGGCTCATCCTGGGCCGCCTGAGCCTGTCGACTTCCACCCCCAGCCCCAAATCGCTGTCCACCCGCCCCGGCAACTTCCACCCCGCGGCAAACCCCCACCCCTGAGGCACCTGAGCTGAGCGCCCCAACCCCCAGGATGCCCCTGACGCTGGAGCTAACCGGTCCACCCCTCGGTGTGCGTTCCCCAGCACCTGTCTTGCCGCATCCCCCTTTCCAGACAGAGGTTAATTCTGTCTCCCAAAATCAGGTGGCCTCCCAGGCCAGGAGCAGAGAGGGCGGGTCCTGGAGGTCCCCCTTGTGGGCCTGGTGGATCCCTCCTCACCAGACCCCTTCTGCCTGGGGAGCCTGCTTCAGACACTTGCAAGACCCTCGCCTGTCCCACCCCTGCCCTGCCTGGGCCCTCTGGTTTGTTCCTCAAAGCCCAGCCCGAGCCACTCCACTCTCTTCAAGGTGTGCCTGACCCCAGGAGTGAAGGGGGGACCCTACTGGGGCTCTCCCTGCCCCCCTTACCCCTAGGTGGGGGCATCGTCCTTTCATGGGTCTGGCCCCATCCCAGACCAGACACTCCTGGAGGACAGAGCCCCCAGCCCCCCACCACCATGTCCTCCCCAGCCCAGGGACCAGGTCGGGGAGGGGGTGGGTAACAAGATCCCCAGGGCCCCTGCCCCGCCCTCTAAGCCCAGCCTGCCAGCCATGAATCAGCAGCTCAGCAGCAGGCCTGGCCAGAGCAGCTTTACACCTGGGCTGCCACAGCCACCCATGTGCTCAGGACCTGCAGGCTGGTCAGTGGGGACGGCCTGGGGTCACTGAGCCACAACTGCCTGTCTTCACGCCCTTCATGCCCTGGGCTGCTTGTGGCACTCCACCTGCCTCCTCCAGGAGGCCCCCAGCTGGCTCCTTACTCCCTGTGGTGGGACCCAGGGGTCCAGAAGGGTTTGGGTTCTGTATCAGACTGGACCACTAGGTAGGGCATGTCCCAGTTGTGTGCCCACCCCCGACCCACCCCTGGCAGGACTTGGCCCAGCCTGGGCTCCAGGGGTTCTCCGGGACCTGAGGCCCAGTACTCACGCTGCCCTAGTGTCTGGAGGGCCGACTTCCAGGTGATCTCCACCCCTCAAAGGCCTAGGGCAAGGACAGCCAAACACCACTACCCTGGGGATGCCCTGCCTGATCCCCTTTGGGGCCCAGGCCCTCCCGGCCTGAGCTGCAGTGAGCAGTAGGGGCTGGCAGCTCAGCGTGTGTCCCAAGGGTTGAAGCAGCCCTCTTCCCCTTAACCAGGAAGAAAAGGAAATCTCCCCTCACCATCCCTGATCCTGGGGAAGGGCAGTCCTTTGCTCCTAGACTTCCATGTCCTCCCTGACCACTGAGAGGAGGGGGCAGGTGCAGATCTAGACCAGAGCCCGCCCAATGACCCCCAGCAGGGCAGCGGGGTTGCTTGTTGGAGTGACATCACACTCTGTCCACCTTGGATCCAAGTGGCTCTCAGGGAGCAGGGAGGATACTGAAGATGGCTGGCTGTCAGACCAGGGACCCGAGGGACACAGCCACCCCTCCAGGCAGTGGGGGGAGTAGGGCAGCAGGACCTGGAGCCTGAGACACAAGCTGAGTGAGAGGAAACCCCCTTTATTGCAAAACCCCGGTGCAGGCACTTATCAGACCTCCCTGGTCCTGTGAGGTGAGAGGTCACCACCTCGGCTACCTGACAGAGAAGCCCCTAGAGGGAGGACCCACACCCCCAACACATCTCAAGGAGGGTCCTGTCCCAAAGCTGGCAAGGTCAGCTCCACTCTGGAAGGAGGGAAGACAAGAGCCGAACCACAGACCAGAGCACCCAGCTCTCGGCTGCAGGGCCAGAGGGTGGGCAGAGGTAGGGTAGACAGAGACTTCTTCATCAGCTTGGGGACAGGGGCCAGGATCCAAGTCCACGTGGGTGTGTGCGTCCTCAGGGCTGGATCCCCCCATGCCTGCCAGCCCTCTGGCTGGCACGGGACCCTCATGTCTTAGAAACCTGCCGCTGCTCCCACACCCAAGGAGAAAGGGGTCTTTGTTCACACGGTTGCCCCTGGTGAGTTGCACGGCAGAATCTCAGCAGAGCCCTCCACCCTGGCCCACGTCAGGTACCGGGGGAGAAGAAGCAATAGTACAGCCACCCCAACTTTGGCCTCCTGCCCATCATGGCACTGACCCTCAGGTGCCCAAGATTCACATGCCTGCACCTGCCTTGACACATGAATTCCAGGAGTGCACATGTGTCACATGCAGCACAGGTGAACGCATGACTCCAGGTAGCTGTCCCAGCCCTGCCACCCACAGGGACGATCCTTTGAGTCCCAGCACTTTCCAGGGGAGCCCCTCACTTCTAGGCTGAGCAGCTGTGACCACCAAGACCCCTCCCTTTTTCTCCAGAAGGCTCTGGCCCCAATGCACCACCTGCCAGAGGCAGCCCTCTGGGGCTGAGGAGCTCTGAAAACTGACACAGTCCCAGGGGGAGCTCTCATGGCACCCAGGTCCGCCAGAGTGAGGTCCCAAAGGAGACCCAGGATGCTGGGAGGGGTAGGAGAACCAAGGGATCCAGGATGCTCTGCCCAGATTCCTACATCCATGGCTCACACACATGCAGGTGTTCACAGGCGTGCAGACTCCCCATAAGGAGTGGGTGTGGAGACAGGGGGATCCCGGGAGAAGGGTCAGCGCTGCTGGCTGCAGAGGTGTTGGGAGGCACCCCTTGTGAGAACCAGGCAGCTGAGGAATGTGGGCAGGCAAGCTCAGGCCCCTCTTGGAGTTGGGAGTGTAGTGGGTGAGCAGCATCTCCTCACTGCTCAACTTCCAGGCTGCCCAGAGGCTGCGGTGGCTCTGGGGGCTTGAAGCTGAGGACCTCCTGGTAGGTGAGCTCTGTGGGGGGAGGGGAAAGGGTGAGCTCAGGCAGCCATCAGCCCAGGCCCACCACCCTCTGAGGGTAGCCTCTGCCTGTGGGCTCCTTCCTAGGCCTGCTCTGTGCTGTCCTCAACCCTGGAGTGAGTGGGGTCATGTTGTCACCCGCCCAGACCACAGTCAGGAGGAGCTGGAGCGCCTCCTGCAGGAACAGGCAGTGCCCAGCCTCTGGGGGAGCACAGCCCTCAGGCCCACCCTTCCACTCCTCCACTGTGCGCTCCTTGGCCTCGACGCTTTCATCGTAGGGCTCAGCCTCAGGTTCATCCTCGGGATCGTGGTACTGGCTGAAGTAGGCATGGGCCAGGGCCTCGGCAGCACTGACCCTCTGGTCACTGTCCAGCACCAGCATCCTTCCCAGGAGGTCCACAGCTGCAGAATAGTGGGGGGGTGGGCTGTGGTCACCACCACATCCGGGGTTGATGTGGCACCCAGCCCAGCCCAGGGCCCATCCTCACCCAGGGGGTTGGCTCCGTGGAAGATGCTCCTGAGGTCCTTCTGGGGCATGGGGGGCAGGGACTGGATGTATGTCCGGGCCTAGGAGCACATGGGAAGGGCCTGGATGGGCTGTTCCATGCCTAACTTCCCTGGGCCCTAAAGCAGGCAAGGCAAGGGCTTGCCAAGAGAAGCCCCCAGACTCACTGACTCCAGTAGGCCTTGGCAAGGGCCTGGGCAGACCAGAGACTTCCCTGCTTTGGACCTGGTGGCTCCAGCACCATGCCTGGCCCTCGATGCCTGCGGGACCTAGGCCTGGTGCCATTCCACTGTCCTTGGCCAGGGCACTATCTGCGCCCAGATTTTACCCTTGCCGTCCCTCTTGCCAGGAATGTCTTCCCTGTTCACCTGTTTCCCCCAGAGGGGTCAGATGCCTGCCTTGTGGTCTGTTCCACTGTGACCCATGCTCCCTACGTAGTGCCCCATCTATTGCCACAGCACCCCTTCCTCCAGAGTGCCTGGGGGCTGGGTCAGCAGAGGGAACTGGTGCCCGGTGACTCACATGTTCCGAGGATATCTTTGCCAGAACCTCAGGGCTGGGGGTGCCCACCACCTCCATGATGCGCTTCAGCTGGTCAATGTCTGCCAGGCTCAGGAAAGACCCAACGGCCAGGCATGGACTCTTCCCGGGCTCTAGACCCCAGACCTTCGGGGCACTGCCCAGAACCTGCTCTTCCATAGCTGGTGATAGTGAGCCCAAGGTGGCACAGTGTGGGGCAGGGGAGGTAAGGCTGGCCAGAAAGGCCAGGCCCACCTCCCTCGACCCCCACCCCACTGGAGGGGACCCTGGCTCAACCCTCCTCCCTAACTGGGCCAAGGATACAGTCGTTTCCTGGGAAGAGGGCCTTTCCCTGGAGCAGCTCAGCCATGATGCAGCCCACAGACCAGATGTCCACTGTTGGAGGAGACGTCTCCATCAGTCCGCCCACCCCGAGTCCCTCCTTGGAGAGCTGGGGGCCGCCGGGACTGCACCAGCCCAGTGGCCCTTCAGTCACACCTAAGCCCAAAGGCAGGCCTCTCTCTCCTCTAGACACAACCCCGGGGAAAGGGTTAGCCCGAGACCCACCATGTTCTCCCTTTCTTGAAGGTCTATTTTGGGGAGGGGGGTTAATTAGCTATTTGTTTGTTTGTTTGTTTATAATGGAGGCACAAGGATTGAACCCAGGACCTCCTGCATGTTAAGCATGCGCACTACCACTGAGCTGTACCCTCCCCACCACATTGAAGGTCTGTTTTTGAATGCTGGTCCCAGACTTTGTCCCCCAACACTGGACACACACCCTAAGGTCTTTGGCCTCTGGGTCCCACCCCCCACCCCTCCCCAGGCCCTCCGCTCCCACCAGGCTGCGCCGACCCGGGGTGACATCACCTGTCTGGTTGTAATGCATCCAGTTGAGCATGATTTCAGGTGCACGGTACCAGCGCGTGGCCACATAGCCAGTCATTTCCTCGTCAGCCTGACGCGCGAGCCCAAAGTCTAGGATCTAGGGTGGCCCGCAAGGATGTCAACACCCCCGTGTCACTCTTCCCTGCCCACCGGGGCACCCCTGCCGCTCACCCTCAGCTCGCAGTCCTCGTTCACAGCCACGTTGCTGGGCTTCAGGTCCTGCGGGGCAGGCGCTGCGTGAGCGCAGAAGCAGCAGCTGCAGGACCCCCACCCTCGCCTGCACAGCACCTACCCTGTGGATGATCCCCGCCGAGTGGATGTACTGCAAGGGTGAAACGGCAGCGTCAGGGTCTACCCATGGCTCCTGCCCACACTCCCGCTCCGACCCCCGCTCCCGCGCCCACCTTCAGCCCACGCAGCAGCTGGTACACGAGGAACTGGACATGCTCGTCGCTCAGCGCCTGACACTTGACAATGTTGTTCAGGTCGGCGCCCATCAGCGTGGTCACCAGGTACCTGGGAAGGGTCAGGGATCAGCCTAGAGTGCCCCACCCCTGCGCCCTCCCCCCACGCACTATCGCAGCTGCTCACACTTCGCTGAAGTCCTCGATGGAGGTGGCCGGCGTGAACACGTCCAGCAGCCCGATGACCTGGGTGCAGAGGGCAGTGAAGACGCGGGCGTCCCTCTCATCCGACCTCTCTGTCAGCCTTCCATCCCCCCTCCCCCCATCCCCCCCACCCCCTGCCCGGCTGCCCTCCTCCTCGCCACCCTACAACCGTCTCACATTTTCGTGCTTCAGGTGTTTGAGCAGCCGCAGCTCGCGGTACGTCCTCCGCGCGTGGATCAGCGACTGGAAGGGGCGCGCCAGCTTCTTCACCGCCACTCTCTGACGCAACTGCGTGTCGTAGGCTGAGCTGCAAGGCACGCGCGTGACGCTGCAGGCCTCGCTGCCTGTTGGCACCTGTGTTGCTTGGCGGGCGCCAGCCTGGTCTCCACACACAAGATCTCCAGCAAGGAAGCGCTCTGACAACAGTCACTCAAAGCCTCTCTTCTCCTCACCGGGGGTCCTGCTCCCCCCTCCACGCACCCCTTCACCCCCAGCCTGCCCAGCCCAGGAACCTGGCCCGCCCCACCTGGGAGCTCAGGGCAGGATGGGGACTTCTCTTGTCTCCTGGCCCAATGGCTCTTGCCAGGGTGGAAATGACAGGGCAGGAGAACAGCCAAGCATGTTCCTTCAGCGCAGCCCTCCAACTCCCCCATGGGCTGGCGGGGCTGGGAGGCTCCCTGAGGGGTTCCAGGGCCACTGCCAAAGCCCCTGAGTATTCAAAATGTGGAGAGAAAACTGACCACAGGTGTTTACTGCATCATTTCTCACAGTGAGAAACTGGACATTGGAAAATGGCCAGCAGAGGGTGGCGTCTGGACCCTCAGACCATTTCCCCTTGCCTGACTCTGCTCCCCAGAGGTCCAGCCCCGCAATCTCCACACCCACCTACTCTTCACAGGAGAAGACTGGCGTTCTCCTCAAACGCAAATGGCCTGGTCACTCCCACTCTGGGAATGGGGTTTAGGCCCTGCAGAAAGCTTTCCCTCTGCTGCTGCTCATCCCCCCTTCCCTCCCACAGGTCTCCGACCTCCCCTCTGGGATCCAGCCCCCCTCAAGAGTGAGTGGAGCCTCAGGCCACACCCCAGGCCCATTCCGCCCAGGGAGCATTTCCTGCTGTGGGACCTGGGATGCTCTGGGGCCCAGACGGTGGTGGAGGAAGCCCCTCCCTCCAGCCCATGACCCGCTGGGGAAGGTCCAAGTCGCTGCTGGGGTGGGAAGCAGGGGAGTGGCCCCTCATGGGGGTGGGGGATGGGGAGCCAGATCCTTTGGTGTCTGCACAGTCAAACGACCAAGAATTAGCACTGGGTTGCCAGCTTCATCAGAGGAAGGAGGGCCATCACCTGGATGAGGTCCATGCCCAGCTAAATGCAGTGGGGAGGGACCCGGTCTCTCTTCGGGAGCTCGAACTCCCAGAAAGTGCTTCCAGCAAGGGCTCTGTCAAATCCCCTAGACCATTCACACATTGTCCCACACCCTTTTCCTGCCCTTTGAGGTCTCAGAGATGAAGACCAAGGCCTGTGGTTGGAATGGCTGAAATGGTCTACCTGAGGTTCCTGACAGCCAGCCAGTACAGTGTGAGATTTGTGAGATCTGAGGCCCCGGGGACCCCAAACCCCTGTTCCAGTCTCCAGTGCTGGGCTTTAGGAGGGGGGATAAGTACCGCTCTTAACCTTCTGCCAGAGCCTGAAGCAAAGCCCCACCCCCAGGGTCGCTGCCTCCCCACACCCATGACCTCTGTAGTGAACAGCAGCCACCTGGCCCTTTCTCAGTAAGGATACCACTGGGTTCTGGGGTGGAGCACCTCGCAGCATCCCCACCCACAATCTGCCTCATTGTCAACACTGCTAACTGCAACCGAGACTGTCTGCAAGCCCCTCACCCTAAGCCTCTCCAGCCTGCACCCCCTCCAGGTCGCAAAGGCCTCTTGGAACCCCACCCTCCCTCCTGCTTCCAGACTCCGCAGTCTGTCTGAGCCCCAGGGCTAACTACACGGCTGTGGTCCGAGCTGGCGCGCTCTCTCTCTCTCTCTCTCTCTCCTCCCCCTCTGTTGGGGCAAAAATGGATTGTAGGGGGATGGTACACGCCTCTGGTCAGGCCTGAGCCCCATGCGGAGTCCTAGACCCCCTGAAAATGGGGGAGGGGAAGGACCCACGGGGACGCTTGAGGTCATTCTAAGGCAGGGGTCTTGTCCTCCC